GAGGGCAGGCAGTGCCTGATGTACCTCTTCAGAAGGAAAAAGCAGGTATCAGGCACCACATGAGATTCTAGAATCAGACTACACTTTCCGGTCTACTCTGGAACAGAGTATGTGGCAATGACAGATGATAAATATCAAGGCAGTAGTAATCTCCTAACCCAGCATATCATTTTCAAGAAAGTGCTGAAGGCACTGGGTGGGGTGGCACATGTCTGTAATCCCAGCATTCGGGAGGCTGAGGTAGGAGGATTGCTGTGCGTCTGAAGCTAGCCTGGGCTGCATAATGAGACCTTGCTATGTAGAATGAATGAATGAATAAATAAGTAAATAAATAAATAAATGTCTATAAAGGAAAAGGAGTACTCAATAGAAGAGCAAACCTGTATTCTTTACAATGTTCACTGCAATTTACAGTGGAAAAAAGCTGGAAAACATTCTAAGCATTGAACACAATTAAGGAGACGAAAATTATGAAGAAACAAAAGAAAATGTCTGCGGCCCAGAGATGAGCTTCCGGGGGTCAGGAAATCTGTCTTGCTAGTCTCTTTATCCCCAGGCACAGAGCGCATGCTCGGCTCCTAATGGGCACTCAGAAACTGTCGAAGAGCAAATGAATGAATGGAAGAAACTGCACCACGTTACAATTAGAACCTTGTGGAAAAAAATGCAAGCACCTGGAGAGGAAAATGTAAAAATAATCAAAATACTCATGTTAGCAGAGTGGAAATGGGATGACTCTTTGCTTATCTGAAAACTCCACTTAATCCTGCCACACTGTTCAACAATTAAAAATGAGAGCTGGCTTGTTTAAAAACAAAAAAACAAGCTTGGATCAAGGAAAAAATAAAAACCAAAATTGTAGAATTTCTTGAAAATACACCATATCATTAAAAATTAAGTACATTTCTCCTTTGTGGAAAGCCATCCTCAAATACACTGACACAAATAGGAATCATGCAAGGTTACTCCTTGTAGAAATTTTACAGAGGAAAGGACTAGAAATAACACCAGTGTTCAATAAACTATATTCTGTCCCCCTCATGGAGTATGACACCATGGGTAAAGGGGGGCAAAACAAAGCTCCCTAGATGGCTGTGGCCTGGAGTTCAGGGTATACCTGATAGAGAAAAGCAGGACAGAGCAGCAGAAGGCGTGTGGCATCGTGCACCTGAGAGAGGACAGGGCTAAGGAGCGTGAGGACAGTTTAAGAACAGTCAGATGAGAATAAGCCAAGACCCGAAGGAAACGGATACTTCCAGAGGAGAGAAAGAACAGGTGAGAGACAAAGGAAATGAGGTCAAACTTCTCTAAATATATTTTGCTTTAAGAGTTTTGATTCAGGAATTAAGTAGACACTTTAACTATAAATCACAGCACAAAATTAAAAGCTATTATCGAAATAAACAGACAGTCTTAAAACTAAACAGAGTGGTATATGCCTAGGGTACCAGCTTCTCAGAATGCTAAGGCAGGAGGAATAACCTTAGAAGTTCAAAGCCAGTCTGGGTAACAAAGATCTTTTTTCAAAAAAGAAAGGGAAGAAAGCACACGATCTACAATAATAAACAATTTAACATAACTCTGTGTGAAGTGGCGACTGAACTACAGAGATGGTTAATGCAAGTGATGTTTAAGCTTTTAAGTACAGGAACATAAATGTGACGGTGTGTCACTAGTGGCAGTGGCCTAAAGACAAAAAGAATGCCAAAGAACTCTTAAACTACATCCAGTAATCCTATCACAATGTTAGTAATAATTACTAGCATTTTTATTTTTGAGTACACACACATTCATGTCATTAAGAGGCAAGATCTGCCGGATGTAGTGGTACACACCTATAATCCCAGCACTCAAGAGGCTGAGGCAGGAGGACTGTTGAGAGTTCAAGATCAAGCTAGACTACAAAGTGAGCTCAAGGCCAGCCTGAAATGTAGTGAGACCCTGCCTCAAACAGACAAAAAGAAAGGAGGGGGAGGAGGGAGGAAAGGGAGGAGGAGGATGCGGTGGCAGTGGTGGCAGCAAGATTTATATCGTGTGATAGTATTATTATCATTTTTTAAAAAAAAATACAATTATAAAATCAAGGCGGTTAGGCGAAAGCCATACAATCTTACATTTGAGTTGGAAATACCAATATAAATTCATGAGGGATTTTGTTTAAAAAAAAAAGAAACTATTCCATCACTAGAAGCGGTCTCACTGCTATAGCTATGAGCACCTCCAGGACGTGTGTTCTGGTTTCCGACCATTTTCCCTATAAGTAACCTGGGCCCCTTGGAGAAATGGTCAACTTTAGGTAGAAGTGCACTATCAAAGCCTCTTCAGTCTTGTCAAAAAGACTCTGGAGCCAACCTAAGGGCTCCCACCGGTTAAGGCTGAAGGAATTCAATCATAAGAGATTCATACATTGACTAATCTCAACCTGTGGACTTCCCTTGTATTCTGATTTAACAGATCATCTGCAGGAAATACATTTATGAGAAAACTGGGACGTCTAACCAATGACTAGAGAGCATATTAAATAACGACTGGGGGTGCTGGGGAGATGGCTCAGTGGAATAAGCGCTTCCCTAGCAAGTGCAAGGATCTGAGTTCAATTCCCGGTTCCACCAAAAAAAATAAATGATTGGTATTTTTTTATAATTATAATAATAGCATTATTGTGTTTTAAAAAACAAGTATTTTTTAAGAGAACCATATTAAAATATTTACAATTAAAATGACAGAATATCTAGGAATAGCTTTTATCTGAGCTAGATTTTATCAAGGTAAGATAAAAACCATTGATCAAACATTAATGATCACTGAAGTGATGAAGGGTACTTGAGCATTCATCTTACTATTATCTCTACTGCTAAGTGAGTTAGAAATTTTCCATGATAAAAAATTAAAGGGGCCTGGCACAGTGGTGCATGCCTACAATCCCAGCACACAAGAGGCTGAGGCAGGAGGACCACTGCAAATTCCAGCCCATCCTGGGCACAGTGAGGTCAAGGCCAGCCTAAATTACCAAGTGAGACCCTGTCTCAAAAACAAACAACAGGGGCTGGTGAGATGGCTCAGTGGTCTAAAGCACCTACTTAGAATAAGCTTAGCAAAGCACAGGGACTGCAGTTCAATCCCCCAGCACCACTTGCCAACCAGCCCCGCCCCCTGGTGGGCTGAGCTGGCCACACACACACATACACACAAATAAATAAATTAAAAAAAAAAACAAACAAACAACAGCAAGGTGAAAAAAGTAAACAAAAAAAAAAAATGAAATGAAATGAGAAATCTGAGTCCATAAAGAGTGCTGCCTATCTTCCCATATGATGAGAAGGAGCTGTGCACAAACTGACCTTTTGTCCCTGAATCAATTAGTGGTAAGATGTATTTTCTAACTTATGAACATCAGCTAAATTAAGACTGAAGAAAACTTGCTAGAGATATCTTTTTCTTTTCTTTTTTCAGTATTAAGGATTGAACCCAGGGCCTCTTTCATTCTGAACAAGCATAAAGAGCTTAAGATGACAATTTTCAAACCTGATTGTCTGGGTCTGTAAGGTCCCTTACTACCACAGGTATGATATATTCAGAAAACACCACTGGAAAATCTGGTCTATTTTCTCGTAAAAAAGTAGCAATCGGAGGAATCTGTTCCAACAGCTCAATCCGCACTGTGGGCTCTACAGCAAGAGAAAATAGAGAAAGATTTATATTAAGAATAAGCCAAGAATCTTACATAGTATATACTGATAGTTTCTAGCTTTTCTTACTAAAATACTTCATCAAGGAAATTAGACAAATGCAGTTTAAAAATCATTTCCCATTTAGAGTATTTATGCCACAGACAGGCTTAAAAAGCTAATAAGCTATATGGCAATATAAAAACATAAAAAGAAGAGAGAATGACAACTCTATTATAACGAGCCACATATAAATCGAGGAAGGAGCAAGAAGTCTGCATGCTGGGCCAGCGTCCAAAAGCTATTACAACTAATGGCTTCTACGCGAGACCTATGGATTGTGCTTATTTAAATTCCAGCCAGAATGTATACATTATAAATAATTCTTTCATAAATGCACTCCCCCATAATCCACACATCCCAATTATTTCTAAGGCAAAGCATTAAACAAAAGAGCAGCTCCAGCTCCAATATACCACATTAAATTTAACACAAATATATAATTGCTGCAGCACTATAAATGGTGATTCATTTACAAAGAAAATCCATTTAAAGACTCAAAACATCCACTTGGGTCTTTTTAAAAGCGTTGTGTCGTATTCATATGAATATTTTAAACTAATATGGGAGCTATATGTAAGGCTTACTTTCCTATGTTCAGTTAAAATGGTCAAATCCTAAGGCCTATGATCTCCAAAACTTTGTGGAGCAGTTCGCCATTAATTACGAGTCCAGGGAAGGGGCTGCCGAGCAGCTGCCAGTATGAGCAACCCACCACTCATTTATCTTGCGGCCGTTACTAGGGGCTCAGGGGGAGCAGACAATGCCATAGCGTCTGCCATACAGCAATGTGCTTTTCTTCCAGAATAGCAATCATGGAGAAGTAGAAAGAGAAAGAAAAATCAAGATTAGCCCACAGAGATCATAGGTGAGAGAAACTAATGACTGGGATTGTTCTAATCCAAAGCACCTCTTTTGATTGGGTATTTCTTAGCAACCAATAGTCTGGCCAAACTCAGGAAACACAAAAGGCCTAACTGCCAGGGCAAATGGCATTCAGAGCCATTAGTCATTCTCGTTTCCTTTAAGAGAAAAAAAAAAAAGGAACAATTTGGTCATTTTAAAATAAGATATCCATTCGTCATGACAACATCCATTGATGGTCAGATATTGCTTAAAGTTGGTAGACTAATAAACAGATTTTTTTTTAATTTAGCTACTACTGATTCTATGTAATTTCTTAGAAATGTGCAAGTAAAAAACTAAAATTACATACTAATTGCACAAACCTGCATCTTCTGACAATCTGACTACAATCTCCATCACTGTTAAGAAGTCTTCTTCATTGTTACTGAAGTCCCGGAAGATATCAAGTAGTCCTCTGGCAATAATCTGACTATGGAGATAAGAAATGATACACAGTTATTTGGGTGACATTAACTAAAGGATGATAAATTCCAGAAACTGTTCTATAAGCCAATACATTGGCCAAAGGAGAGTCACAATCTCAGCCCAGGAAGACAGAGACCACCAAGGAACCCCGGAAGACCATCACTCCAATCTGGGTCGCAATTCTGTAGGAACTGAAAATCCATATCCTCCAGCCTGGCAGTCATTAGATTTTGAAATAGTCCTCTTGAGGTTTACTTTTTTTTTTTTTTTTTGGCTTTTTGAGACAAAATTTCCCTATGCAGTTCAGGCTGACCTTGAACTCACTCTGTAGCCCAGGCTGGCCTCAAACTCCCAGCGATCCTCCTGCCTCTGCCTCCCAAGTGCTGGGATCACAGGTGTGCACTACAACTTCCACCACTTCAAGCTCCTCTTGAAATAAAAGAAAACCATCTCTCCACTTTGCTAACTAACTATTCAGGCTCAGACAGACTTGTTTAAGCAAGGAAAAGGAACAACAGGCCCAGAGAGGCACCTGGTGGTTCTCTCAATGACTGAAAGTACAGATTATAAGCAACTAATTAACTTTTAAAATTCAGACATTTCCCCATTTAGTATTTTTACTTTCCCAACTTTCTGACCTCCAATGCTTGATTTGAAGGAATAAATAAAGCTACAGAGAGGCTTTCAGTGACAACCTGAAGGCTAAAGGATAGTCAGTGTCTGAGGCCCTAGAGCCTTAGCAACAGACAGGGAGACAGAGTGAGCCTGAAGCTGAGGAACAAAGAAAGGACAGATGGGTGTGTGTGTGTGTGTATGTGTGTGTGTGTGTGTGCACTCGCCACAACAGAGCAAGCAGCAGAAGAACCCAGAGCCTTGCACAGTACAGAGGTGGGTCTAGCCAGCAGGGAGAAAATGTGATGGCCCTGCAGGACCACGCAACTGGATCGTAGGCACGGTCCGAGTCGGCTACCAAAACTTCACTAAATGTAAATGTCCTACACTGCCAAAAAAAAAAAAAAAAAAAAAAGATTGACACAGTATATATACAAAAACCTAACTAGATATTGCTTGTAAGAAACACACTTTAAACATCAAAACCTGAGTAAAATAAAAGGATGAGCCAAGCATGGTGGTGCATGGATATAATCTTGGCACCAAGAGGCGGAGGTGGGATGGTGTCAGTCTGAATATCCCAGGCTACACGCTGAGTTCTAGGACAGTCTGGACTACACAGCAAGGCCCTGCCTGAAAAACAAACAAATAAATAAAAATAAAGGATGAAAAAAGATATGCTACGTTTCTAAATTTCAAAAGAAACTGAAATTTAGATAAAGCTTATCTCCAGGGATAAAGTCAGTATATAGTGATAAAAGGATAAACTTATAAAGAAGACATAATAATTTAAAATGCGTCTGTACTTAAGAATAGAGTTTCATAGCTCAGTAGAATAAGTGCTTGCCTGGCAAGTGCAGGGTCCTGAGTTCAATCCCTGCTACTGCAAAAAAAAAAAAAAAGAATACAGTTTTAAACTATGCAGCCAAAAATACTAAAATTGTAGAAGAAATAGTTAAAATTCAGTGTAAGAGTTCAGAAATTGACCCACACATATATATCAAGTGATTTTTCTTACTAGAGGGAACAAGGAAAGGATAATCTTCTAAAAAGGTGGTGCTATAAAAATATTCATATAGGAAAATGAACCTTAACTCTTAACATACACAAAAACTAATTCAAAATGAATTATAAATCATAAAACTTCCCAGAAAAATCTTTGTAACCTTAAGTTACAGTTCTTCTGACATCCTAAAATATACGACCCTTGAAAAAAAATTATCAAGTAGACTACATCAAAACTAAGAAACTGTGGGGAGACAGCTCAGCAGCATAAGTACCTGTCTGGCAAGTGCGAGGTCCTGAGTTCAATCCCTGACACATACACACAAAACAGCAACAGAATAGAGAAAATCTGACAATTCAGATACATAAGGAACATATAAATCACTCTTAATCTCTTACAACTCGATAATAATGAAATAACCTAATTTGTTAATATGTGTTCATAAATGTTCCCAGCTCTGCTATTCATAACCAACAAAAGTTGATTAACAATCTAAATATTTATCAACTGACAAATGGGTAAACAAAATACAACATATCCACTCAGTGGAATTCTGTTCAGCAATACAAAGGACTGCAGTTCTTTTTTTTTTCTTTGTCTTTTTGAGACAGGATCTTACTGGCGTTGAGCTCGCTCTGCAGCCGAGGCTGGCCTCATATACTCACATGGACCCTCCTGGGATTACAGGCGTGTGCCAGCACACCCAGCAGGACTGCACTTCTGATACATGCTATGTAACACAGATGAACCTTGAATAGAGCATGCTAAGTGCAAAAGTCACAGACCATGCTACTTGCTGTTTTGGTTTGGGTTTGGTACCGGGGACTGAACCTAGGCTTTGCATACTAAGCTACATCTCCAGCCTTTTAAATTTTTTTTTTTAAATTTTGATACAGGATCTTGACAAATTGCCCAGGATGTGCTCAAACTTGCAATCCTCTGGCCTCAGTCTTCCAGAGTGAGGGGATTATGGACATGGGTGTGCCATCATGTCCTACTAAGACCACATATTACAAGATTACATTTCTATAAAATGTTTAGGATAAGCAAATCACTGGAGACAGAACATAGGTTAGTGGTTGCCTAGGGCCACAGTAGGAGACTGAGGATGAACAGGTAATGACTGCTAAAAGAAACAGGATTTCTTCTTGAGAAGCAAAAAAATAAAATGCTTTAAAGTTCATTATGGTGATGCTGCACAGTTCTGTGAATATACTAAAAATTATCAACTTGTAAACTTCAAGGCAGTGAACTATGATATAGAAATTAAAGCTGTCATATTTTTAAAAAGTAAATGACTCTAACTTCCCATGTACAAATTCAGCCAAGAAATGTCACAAATCTTCAGGAAAATCACAGTGGGCCTTACTGATAACAGCTGGGCCACGTGGCCAAAGTCAGCATCCCCAGTAATAAACGTGTGCTCCTGATGTGGAGCAATGAGGATGCGCCACTGCTGGGGTGGGCAAGCCCGGATTTCATAACTTTGGTCTAGTGACAAGAAAATATGCAATATATTTTGAGAAACACTACCATTATTCTTATTATGTCAAGATCATCAAAGGTAGGGACAGACCAAGAATTTATCACACACTGAAGGAACTTAAAGAGACATGACAACTAAATACAACATGGTAGCCTAAGGGCCAGCAAAATAGCTCAGCAGACTAGGTACCTACTTAGACAAGTACAGAGACCAGGGTTCAATTCCTGGCATCACACACCACACCAGCTCCACCCTGGGGGCATGCTGAGCCAGCCACCGAGACCGGGAGTGGTGGTGTAAGCCTGTAATCCCAGCATTGGGAAGGCTGAAAACAGGAAGATCACTGAGTCCGAGCTGTGTCAGTGAGACCCTGTACCAAATACATTTTAAAAAAAAATTTAAATTAAAAAACATGGTATTCTGGAATACAAAAAAGCACAACAATGGAAAGACAAAGTTCAAGTCAAGTCTGTAGTTTCATTACTAGCATGGGACCAATGCCAATGTTAATTCCTTACTTTTGCTAAATGTAAATACCCTCTACTGTTGGACCTGTCCAGAGAAGTAGAAGGTATTGAGTGGCATCCTGGCCTCTACATACTAGGGCTAGTAACATCCCTGTTCCCCAGTGACATGACAACCAAAAATGTTACTCTGACAAGTGATATTGACAAAGATCCCATGGAGGCAAAATCACCCTGCCTGAGGAGTACATGAACAGAAAGTATAATGAAGCTCTCCTACCACAATTACAGCCCTACTATAATTTATTTCAAAACAAGAAACTTAAAGACAAAAAGAAAGCCCACAAAGATAAACTGAAGCTACTATGAGATAATAACAAACCACTAGAACTAAAATTATAATGACACACTAAGTTGGCTCAAAAGGAACCCACAGACATTGTTGGTAGGAATGCAAAATAGTGCAGGTGATTTGGAAGAGTCTGGCAGCTTTTCAAAAAGCTAAACAGACACTTATCATTCAACCCACCAATTTCACTTTGAGGTATTTACCCAAATGAAATGAGAACACATCCACAAAAAAGGAAGCACAAGAATGTTCAAATAAGCATTATTCACAGTAGCCACCAACTGGTAAATGATTAACAAAAGGCAGAACATTCACACAGTAGAAAACACTTGAAATGAAAAAGAACAAATTACTGGTAACAAGAGGTATGAGTTCTAGTGCATTTTGCTAAGGTAAAGAACCCACATACCTTAAGAGCACATGCTGTATGATTTCTTTAAATGAAATTCTGGTTTTTTGTTTTGTTTTTTTTTGTTTTTTTTTTTTTTGGTACAGGGTCTCACTACACAGCTCAGACTTGTAGTGATCCTCCTGTCTCAGCCTCCCCAGTGCTGAGATTACAGGCATGCGCCACCATGCCTGGTCTTGGTGGCCAGCTCAGCACGGGCCCAGCACAGCATGCGGTGCCATGGATTGAAGCCTGGTACTTGTGCTTGCTACTCAGGCACTTAAGACTGCTGTGCTATCTCCCCAGCCATATAAATTCTAGAAAAGTAAACCCTTCTGAAAATATTAAGAACCATGTCAATGGTTGCTTGGGCCCATGGCAGTGGCTGAGGGAGGGACAGACTGCAAAGAGGAAAACATGGGAACTTGCTGAGTGATGACAGTGGCTTATGGTAATAGAATGGTTGCATGACTATACACATGTACCTAAACTCGTCCACCTGGAGGCTTACAGAGAGTGAACTTTATGTTAGGTAAACCATAATTCAGTAAAGTGATCAGCAGTAGCCTTGGTGGCCTGCAGGTCTCAGTGTATAAGAAGAGGAACTACAGTTCTTGGCAAATATCCTTTAAGGAAGTGGGAGCTGGCACCTGCCTCTGCCCGCTTCTGTGTGCTTCCCTGAGCAAACAACACACCAGG